AGTCTCTTCATTTCTGCAGAGAAATGAAAGAGCACTACTCCTCCCTCACCAGCCTTGTGCTGTTACTTGATACTGTATCCTACTCAAATTCTGCTGCCCACAGCATGCAAAAAATAGCACTATTTTAAGTCTAGGAGAAGAAGAATCATTCCAGCCAAAGAGGAGCAATAAGTAAATACCCCACCCCCACTATTTCTCTGCATACTACCTACTTTCCAGCTCATCCTTTTTGAAGATGCCAGGAAAAATAGGGATTGATACACAGCAAGAATCTTTATCGATGTTTTTAGCATAATTATACAGTACTATGCACCACAGCTGAATGCAGTTGAAAGCTCAGAGATCATGTTTTAAAAGGACAAAAAAGGCCCAGTTTACTTTGAGGTAAGTTCTCACATTCATATAGCTGCTTTACATACATATGAGAGTAGGTAAAATAACACTGGACATTCTTAAACCAAAATCCTTATTAAATCTCAGACCTAAAAAGATACAACTTGTAAATCTAAATCCCTGGTCTTCCCTATGTTGGCTCACAAAGGCCTAATCCTTTGGGTCAAAGTTGACTCCTTGATACTGAAGCCATTTCTGGAAGATCTGTGCCAGCCAGAACCAAGCAGGATTTGCTTTCTGTTTATACTTAAAAATCTCTTAGGATGTATTTAAAAATGATGCATATAGACTAGCAGATGGCACAGAAAACAACAATTTGATGAATACAGAAATCAGTGCAACTATTTCTAACACCACTAATATGTAATACTTGTGATATGTAATATTCTGCTTTAATATACCCTATTTCAAAATGAAATCTGCACTTAAATGCCAATATCCTCTCCTTCTGGCTTCTCACTTTATGACACTAACATAGGATCTCATTCACCAAGCCAATTGAAATTTTAATAAAAGAAAGCTGGAGTTTCTAATAAACTCCCACAGCGAGCGGATAATACTAAACATCTTTAGCAGCATGGTGTTTTTTATTATTATTTTAGCTGTATATTAATATGCTAGTATTTGTAAACTCTCCAGTGTCACCAGATTTATTTCAAAAGGCTTCTCTATATTCTTCTTTTGTGAAAAGTTTATGTGACAAAGAAATAATAATTTCAGTGGTTCTTTGCTGCATAGCTGTCTAAACCAAAAAAAAAGAAGATATATCTTACCTTAAAAAGGAAAGTATTGATATTATTTATTTGCCATTTGGGAAGACAGTATATTGAATTTTCTTGTTCAGGGTAAAATTATAACAGCAAGACTGGCAGCATTCACCACGTGAAGATTTGCTGCAGATCGTGGCACAGAGAAATGCACCTGCTGCTTCCCACCTTGGTCCTGCACACAGGGCCAGGGGAAGCATGCACAGTGTGTGCTGATCAGGCCTGTCTCTGACCATGACCACAGCTGGAGAGATTGCATCAGGCATTTTGCAGAAGCCATCTGCACTACTCACACACCCACAGCCATCCACTTACTGGAGGCATCAGAGCCAGGACCCAGGTCTTTTCTTTCCACCCTAACAAAGCTCCACAGGACCTCTCCTGCTATTGGCCTGCTAAATCTCCTCTCCTTTCTTCCAGAGTTACATGATTTTAACAACACTGGCATCAGGGCTTGCAAGAGACCCAAGGAAGCCTTTGAAATCAATCCCCAGATGGCCCTTCGTCTTCAGCAGAGATGAGGTAAGATATCAAGGAATTGAGCTCCTCTCTTTGAGCACAAAAACCTGTCTGCAGTGTTTAATTCAAGCGGGTTACTCCCAGTATTTGTATAATGAATCAATTAGCAGCATGTTTAAAAACACAGACAAAAAACCTTGCGCTAATTTTCATCGATATTAAGTTTAGCTTTCAGTTTCTGAAAACATACGTAAGCAACTTCATCTCACTTCATGATAATAACTGTGATTGTCTATGACAAAAATTACTTCTTTGATTCCTGAGCTGCCTGTACACTACCATTAATTCATTATCTCTTTCATCTTATTAGTTATGTGCTCAAACTTTACACTGTGCAAACATTAATTTGAACAGTCATCTGCCCTTAAAATGCCAAAGTTTGTATCAGCTTTGGCAACTTTAAAACAAAGTGCATTCATAGGCTTGCAAATGAAATGTATTCACAGAAAAAAAATTCCTCCCATAAGCTGAAGCAGCTCATCATTAACATTCAAGGAATGTGAACACAGCCTTCATAGAAAACCATTAAAATATAAGGCAGCTTTCAGCCTATTTTAAGAATTTCAGAGAAATTTTGCATTTTCTTTCCCATGATGCCATGGTGATGTCAGGCTGCATTTCAAATAAAATGACAATGAAATCATTTCAATTCCATGCAATGTGCAAAAAAAAAAGTCAAATTTTCTCTTGGCAAACTGAAGTCTAAAGTAATTAAGCACTGCTGTGTGGGTGGCAGCTTCCTCCTCTGAAGTCAGCCTGAGATAATTACCATATTAAAGTCAAAACATCATGTGCTGTGCTGATAGATAGATGGATGGAGAGATTGGGCATCTATTAAATGATCCATTTTGTTATGCTCCCTGGGAAATGTGCCATTGATGCCAATTAAAAATATATATTCCAAGTGAGTATTTCTATGTGACAAAACTTCAGTAAATTGAATTTATTATTTACTGATCATGAAGTACTTAAAGACATTTAAAAAAAAAAGTACTTGAAGACAAAAATCCAGATAGACAAGAACCCAGTAGGAGAATTACATACTTTACTAAGTTTACAAATCCCTCATTACCCAATTGCCACACTCACAATTTTTAGCTAAGGTGTGAGACTATTTCCTTCTATCCTGAAATCTTTAACTACGACAGAAATACAGTACAGTATACAAACCAATATATTCCAAAACTTCCAAATTCACAAACGCTCCATCATAACAAAGGTCATTTTCAATTAAAATAGCAAACATCCTTGCTTCATATTTATAATTAAATGTCTTTAAGTCTACATTTTTAGTAACAGAAAAGTAAATGGACCAAAACTAAGGCAGAGCAGCGATGATTAATTGGTGCTATTTGTTGAGATATATCACAGCAAGACTTGAAATGACATTAAAAAAATCTGTACGTAAGTGGTATTAATAAGTATTACTAACACTGCCTTTGTCACACAGAACTGGCACTTCAACATTAAAATGTCTCCACTATCACAATGTGAAGAAAACATTTCCACTGAAATATAAATGGAGCACTAATTTTTACACATCTGATTTGGATTTCATCTGCAGTGCCTTCAGAGCACAGCCACTTGTATCAATACTGGTTTAGTCTGGTGTGGTGTTGTACTTCAACAACAAGGGGATAAAGGCAAGTTTTGCTATCAAAAGCATTACAAAAAGAGCAGTCTCCATTCTATCTACTCTGCAGCTTATGTTTGATCTCATTTAAATGCTTTGAAAGAGATTTACTCTTCAATGTTTCTATGATAAAGGTCACAGAACAAAAAACTATATATCTTTAAGAATAGGAACGTCTGAGCCTCAGAAGGGCATTTTCATATTGACCAAATATAAATTAATAGAATGTCATATGAAAATACACATGCACTGGTATTAAAATGCTAATGAGTTTTCTCAGCAAGAAATCTAAACAATCAATATTTTATATTTAATATTAGATTCAGCTCTTGCTATGAAGCACCTTGCTCAAGGTACTCAGAGGCCAAAATTTGAGTAAGCCCAGTACTTATGTTACTATCTATAGAAATCTCTGACAGACGGTCTTAAGACCTTTCTGTTTAATAGATTTAAGCTAAAATCCTAGGCTGAGTGAAGCTTTAAAATTATCCTGAGGAAAGTTTAAGGATCTGCAAGGGCTCAGCCTCACAGTGACTGCAATCCAAATATATGATTTATAGCAGCAGATTTTATTCAGTTTTCATTATATTTTCAATATATAATTTTTAAAACTAGCATGACTCAATTTTCCATACACAGTACAAAGTATGCAAACTCAGTGTATTAGCGTTCTTGTATATTCACCACCCCTTGTGAGGAATTAACATAATGATAAAAAGCTATTAGAATGAAAAAATCTACATGTTAAAAAAAAGGGAAGGGGAACAAAACGGTCAGTAAAAGAGGGAAAAGGCACAGCAAACAGAATGTGTTGAATTAGAGGACAAGAAGTATATTCCAAAGTCAATGGACTTGTTCCAGATTTACTTTGTTATTAGAATTGGTTAGAATTTTTTCACTGCAGTAAACTTAAATCCTTCCAAAATTAATGATTAATTCTACCACTAGTAGTGAAAGATTTATAAATGAAAAAGATGAAAAAATAATCATGAACTGGCTTTAAAAATTTGTACTTAAACATTACTTATGCGTGGCTTGTTTTGCACATCTCCCAGTTCTGAACTTTTTTCAAGGTTCATTTTTCTCTTTTGAATAACATTTTCAAGCTTTCTTCATAAATTAGAAGATTTCTTTGCATAGATAACAATTTTAAATTCTCTAATAATTATATGAACTCAAGAGGTGAAATTCTACAAAGCAAAGATAAAACAAAGCAAGTGGTCAGGCAATGGAAGTGCATTTTCTGTTAAAAAAACAGCCTGTAATTAAAATGAGGATCACTTCTGATAGCTTCCCACACACACTTACTTTCCCAGTCATCTTTGACAACCAATTTGTTTTTCAATTCTCTGGTGCTGCCACTCAGCCACTGTTTGAGAAAATTTAAATCTTTTACAAGTTACACATTTTCTTCTTATTTAAATTGGATTTTTGATGGCAGTTTTTGATACTTCCTCTCAGTGTAATTACAAGTGTACAGATGCAAATAATCTTTGGTGATCAAAATCTAGAATTTGTACAAAAAAATGCAACTTCATGTCCATTTCTCTCACCCATCTCTTAAACGTTACCCACAGTCACAGCATTCAATTTTAAGAATTGGGAAAACCTAATAAGATTCATTTTCCAACCAAATGCAGTGAAATGCACTTGATTATAAATTTTAAAGAGAATTCTATCTTGGCACAACTCTTCAATCCAGTTCCTAAAAATCTCACTTCAGTTTGTGTCAATGCAGCTGCATTACTTACAAACCTCTCATGCAGACAGGCTTTCTGATTTAACACAAGCAGACAGTAACCATGTCAGGGGCACTCCGCTGGCAGAACTTTGGGGAGGATTTTGAAATCTGAATTTCAAAGTTCTGACTTTCCTCACACCTGAACTGGCTCAAGCAAAGTCATTTCTGACTTGTGTCAACACCAGGCATGCTGTCATTTTGGTATTGCTCATGTAAGACCAACACACCCAGCCTCGGACTTAACAAGGCTGTATGTACAACAGTCTTGATATCGGAGCTCTGAAAAAAGATATCCTGTAGCATTCATACATTGCATTTCTAGTATGCTATCTAGTTCTCTTCTAAAGAATACCACCTGGTGTCTAATAAAGCACTGGACTTGCCTCTGCCTGTCCTTCAAGTGACTGTGAAGGACGGCAGCCACAAACTGGCTGTGGTGGCAAAGACCTGGCTGGGTGAGCCTTCCCAGTGCAGCACAGAGATACTACTCTCTGAGGCTGGAGAACTGGACAGTTCTAAACTGGAGAACAGCTCTCTTGAGAAGGACCTTTTCATCACTTACTCAATGGGCTATGTTCGTATACAATGAATATTCATTACATCTGTAATAGAAGTGTAAGTTGTAATAATCACTAATCTGATGAGATTTTCAGTGTCTGATAAGATTTTATGTTCCTAGAACATTTTGACTGAGGTTTTCGTTGTCGTTTTTTAACTGAGAAGCATTTTCAGTCTACAAAGGGAGACACCAAAGTAGAAAGATGTCAGGTACTTTGTCAACTCTTGCAAAAGAAAACTCAGTGCAGGACTTAGGCAAACAGCAGAGGTATCTTCTTAGAGACTTCTTCTTATCTTAGGTGATGGTTTCTTCCCTCATTTATCCACCTGGACCCCTCACATTCTCACCAGTGAGGAAGACATCACAGCAGAGCACAAAGTTGCTCTTTTCGCCAGTGTGTTGCAGAGCAGGTAGATAGGCAACCTCCTCAGCTGCCAAAGGCACATCTCTGTTTCAGATGTTCCATTGTATCTTACAAAGTCATCTAGAAGATTACTTTACACAAAAAAAAAAAAAAAAAAAAAAAAAAAAACAAAAAAAAAAAACCCAGTGATTTGAATTGTGAAAGCTAAAATTCAGGACAAGCATCAGGCTAGCAGGAGTCCCTAGCACATCGTATTAACTGTTTCAATGATGAGCAGCAGATCTAGAAAGTGAAGCAACAGATGTTGCCCTTCAGGACTAAAGACTGAAGGAATCCTCCTGCAAACAGAAGCAGGAGAGGAACAGCAGATTTATGTACTCTCACAACAGACAAAACAAGATGTTAGTTGTGCTATTTATAATAGCAACACTACAGGTGCTCATGAGAGTGTTGCTTTGTTATGTTACTTGCAATTATGTTTTGCCATAACCTATAAATCTGTCAAAATGAAGAAAGCAATTAGGAATTTCCACATGAATAGGCCAAGTTTCTCCTTACCACAGAAATGGTGCAAGTAAAAACCTTAACTAGTGAGCCTTATGGGGGATTAGGCACAGAAACCTCTGCCTGCCTAAAGCTGCCAAGTTCTGTGCTGCTCCATGTGCATGTAGCACACTTATGCCAATTATTAAATGAACTGATTAGCAGTTACAAATAATCTGCATATTAATCTGTAAACTAAAGTAGCTAGTTAAGTAAAAAGAGGTGTTTAGACATTAAGTTAAAAAAAAAAACAGAAGGAATGAGAATGCGCAATGCAGAAAGGGTATGAGTAGCTGGAAAGAAAATGTATTCAGGGAAAGCCAAGGTACACCGGAAGGTCTCTTGCCATCACTGTTCCTCTCTTGAGGAAAATCCCTGTTTGTTCTTGCTGTCAGCAGCTGGTCCTTCTCCTCTTGCAACTTTCATGGGAGCAAAGAGAAGAAGAGCAGAAAGAGGTGGCCATATGGCATCCGGCACGAGCGAGCTGCCAATGGCAAACTGCAGAGCGACAGCAAAATGGCCAACTCGTGGCTCCCCTGCCATGTAGGCAAAACACAGTTTTCTGGCAGCCCAGTTGTAGGAAACAAAAAAGTGATCGTTCTGCTATTTATAAATAAGTGCATATGAAAGGGTGTGCAAATTCTTTAAACTTGGGAGCTGAGAAAAGTGGAGGAAAAGACACCTTGAAGCAGTAAGAGGCCAAGTATGGAGGAATAAATGGCAAAACATTGTGCTACATCCATTTTCCAGGTACTTTTTAAAATTGTAGTTATCAAATAGAAATACACAGCCAGGTAGAACTGATAGTTTCATGTAGATTTGAAAGCTCCAAATTGCTTCTGACAGCCTAATTTTCCAATTAAAAAATTGTAATAATAGTAAAAGAGCTGGACTTTATACATTTCTAATTGTTACAATTAGCTGTGTTCAAATTCTCAATTAATAACGCATTTTCCTTTGATGACTATAATTTAGCTCGTCCCATTGCATATATAGGGTAAGTGCTCAGAAAATTTTGGGATGCATCTTTCATATTGCACAAGACCACAGTGTTTGTATTCTTGAAGACAGAGTGACATCTAAAGGGATTTTGAAATACTCAAGTCTTGCACACCGAATCCAAACTGACAAAGTCAAGGGCATATCATATTTTTGAAAACTGATGAGTTTTCAGGTTTGCTGTGGTTGATTGTCCCAAGTAACCATGAAAAGAGGATCAAATTCCAATTTTAATGACATGCCTGAGGGTGCCCTGAGGACAACTGCCATTTTTATCTTAGATTCTGCAGGTCCTCAGTGAACAAAAGGGAGAAATCAGCTTTGAATGGATTCCTTGCACTGTTGTCAAAAGTAATCCAAATGCTCTAAATATCTGTATCCTAAAATATTTTCTTACAACAGTTTTTATTAAACTGAAGCATTAACAGCACAGAATATTTAAATTGTGTTTTTAGCTACCAACTCTCCAAACAGATCTTATGTTCTCTCACCTGCAGGTATTATAACCGGATTCTTTTACAACTGGAGCTTCTCTCTTTCCTATACACAAACACACAAAGAAAAAACAAAATCCAGTATCTAATGGCTAGATTTGGGATCAAAGGTGGTATTTGCATACAAATACTTCTAACACGTTAGAAATATTTTTTAAGTTATACAATTCCAGACATACTCCTGAATATAAAAAGCCAGTTTGAGAAAAAAAAAAAATCAAGTTTATAATATCAAAGATAACAGTACCATAGAAATAGTAGCACCTGTTTTGTGACTAGCATGCATATGATAACAATGAGTTAGTTACCCTTACAATGGACTTTATTTCATTCTATCCTTAAGTGTCTTCCCAAACTCACTGACAGGAAAAAGATTAAAAATATGTTTTCCCCTCTTGGGTTGAAATCATAGTAAACTCGAGTGAATTTCTTTCTAGGGATGAGTAATAGGGAAGCACTATCTTTAACTGTCTACTTTTTAGAAGTAGAATGCCTTCTGATGCAGTCTTATTTATTTATGAAAAAAAAAAAAAAATCATGAACAGTTGTCAAGATGCTATATCTCATTTACAGTCACAATGCCCCAATGAACTACTTAAATGTGGCTCAGCAGCAAAGTGCTGGCAAGCAGAGTTAACTCCTTCTGGCTGAAGAGACAGCACAGCTCAGCACTGAAGATGGATTTATTAGAGGAAAGAAAACCAGACATTTCATCAGGAAAATGATACAGCAAACCGGTGGTAAGAAAAGAACGTGGAAAACAGCTCCGAAAAGATACTGTGAATATTCATTTGAACCTATCCACTGGAATAAAAGGCTGCTTTTCTCTTTCACGGCAATATTTATCCATGCATCTGAATTTCTGTTTGCTGGGGGTTTTTTTTTGTTTGTTTGTTTGTTTTATTTTGTTTGTTTTTTGTTTTGTTTTGTTTGGAGGACATCAATCCTACTAAACTTTAGTGAAATAACAATATTTCCTTTTCAAGTCAAAAGAGGTATTGGCATAGCTGATGTAAAACAAAAAGAGGGACCTGAGGCACTCAGATAATAAATAGTGACAGAACCTTTCAGCAAGTCTTAATCAAGGAGATTAAAGCAACATGTAACTCTAGATGCATGTTAATAAAACAAGTGCTGAAAAATAATAAATGGAACATAAAGAAAGAAGCCTATCTCTTTGCTTCAATTAGTCTCTGTGAACATTATTATTTTTTCCTTCCTCCACCACTTTCAAATACACTATAACCGTCTAAGTTGTTTGATGATTTTCAAAAGAAGAGTTCACATAAAGAATGTTTGAGTTCTTATATAATATCATTCTTTAATCCAGCACATTTTTGGTAGGCTATCTGCAGTGGGCTGTGATTAGTGCTCTTTCTGGGCTCTGTTCACATCCTGATCAACTTCCCAGGGCGGACTGCGTTCTCACTCGTCTGCTTCAATTCTGATAAGGGTTTCTGTACAGACAGACTGGGCTATAATGTCTTGAAGAAAGGAAGGAATTAAAATACTCTTTAATAGACCACAGATGAGTGTCTATGGCTGCAGAAAAATTCATTTGCACTACATCTACAATGCAGTTTGAACTTTTCCTTTGTTTGGCAAAGCACATCAAGTCTGATTTAACAATTCTCTTTGTGGCTTTCATTCTCTCTCTACAGCTTCATATATTTACAAAAGGACACATGTATGAAGATTTCTGATGTAGCATTAAAAAAAAAAAACAATTACTACACATTCTTGTATGCAACTGCAAGTCACCACCTTATGAAGAAAACAGCATTAATAAAAGGTACAAGTAATGAAAACCTCTCTGCATATCAAAGTCCTGACAATGTCAGTTGCTAACATGTTTTGAGCCACGGCCATTTACTGTAAAGATACAAATCTCATTTTATATTAAGGAAGAGAGCATTTAGCTTTCTGACAAAAAAAAAAAAAATGCAAAAATAAAAGCTAGTATCCAAAGAGATGAGCGTCTCCTGCATTAACTACTTGAAGTCATACCTATGACACAATATATGCACTGTCAGTATGTTACATTTTATTATTGGAACACAATTCATAGAATCATAAAATCATCAAGGTTGGAAAAGACCTCTAAGATCATCCAGTTCAGTCACCCACCTATCACCAACAATTAGTTAAAAACATCTACAAGCAAACCAGAAGTTACATCCTGTACAGAAACAGCAACCTGGAGTCTCGACAGAGAACAGCACCGTGCTGAGAGAAGCCCTTACACAGAACAAACAAGGGACAGTCCCTGCGTCAAACACCTCACCAGAAGATGGGCAGGAGAGAGCAAGGGAAGGCAAGCAGAGCACAGGGATTTGCCCAAGGTCAGGGAGAGGGTGGTCCTGACTCCCAGACCAGGCGCAGTGCAGCAGGTCACAGCCTCTCCTCGAGTCTACAAAAGGTGGACTTTCACAAAAAGATTTCTCTGATGGACAGAAAGAAAATGTAGCCCTGAGGCGCTGGAAAACACAAGCCTATACTGACTGAGAATACTTTTTAAAACCAAAACTTCAAGTTGGCATATTTATTCTATATCTATACTGGTGGGTGTTTTGTTTGTTTGTTTGTTTTTCCTTTTCCCGTTGCTGCAGAGTAGATCGAGTGAGGTTGTGAATTTGTTTTTCAGGAGATGTATGCAGAATTATTTAATTTTTTTTTTTTAACCACCAATTCACTGAAATTGATATTTCAAAAATTGAAACTATACCAAAGGATATTTTTAAACATATTTTAAAAAGAGGTAGGGTTTTCTCATTTAAGGGAATGTGAATATGTATCTTAATATTTTTCTAAAGGGTAAAGAGAGTAAGAAAATGATGTATTCAGTTCACAGCAGAATGAGTCACAGATTCAAAAATCTCAAATATTCAGCTATCGTTGCTACAGCTTATGCACATATCAGTTTCAGCAGACAAAAGAGAAGCTCAAATAACAAGATCGATCAGGAAACAAAGGAACGCAGAAAATGAGACAATAGCAAAAAAATTAATTAAGTAAATATATCTGAGTACATCTCTTGTGTGCAAAGAAGCAGAAACAGACAAACTTCATTAGTTCAGAAATGTCCAGTTGTCTCTTCTGAGTAGTTACCATACTGTCACAATCCCCCCTCCCTCCATTATTTTATATAAATACTCAGTTTATAAATCACCTAGAGCCAGGAGGAGCCTTTCAGCTTCTTTCAACTACTCATCCCTGAGTTACGATATGCAGACATAATGGGCAGCAAGGACTGGCATACAAAACTACTGCACATCAGCAACATTGGGAGAAATGGGATAGAAATAGAAACTCCCTTAGCACAATTTCTTTTCATTTTTTGTGGACCCCTGGTGTGATCCTGGAGCACAAAGGGATAAGAAACAGAGACAGAAGGTATTTACTCATTCAGACCACGCACCATCAGCCAAGCATTAGCTCACCCAGAACCCTCCTGCCCTGTCACCACCTCATTCAGGGTGAGGAGCAGAACACAGGAAAAGGAAACAGTTTGTTCTTTTCAGAGCAATGTGCCTTCTTCCCAAGCATCCAAATATTTCTCCTGTCTTGTTTAATCTCAAACCTCCAGGAGGCAATTACATTCCTATAAGTTTCAGTTTCTCCAGGATGGCCAACATATGATTGCTTTTAGTCACATACACCAAGGAGCAATTCCTTGAAGGGCCACAAGTTCACAGCCAACTTTTCTCCCCTAGTGCATAGAATGAGAATGTCTCCATGTCCAACAGCAGGCATAATTCAATTTTACATGTCACAGAACATTTGTGAACTAACATCTCAGCTTTGCATTCAACATTTTTTCCAACAACGCTTGCAGGGGGTATTTTCTCACAAATTTTGGCATGAGCTATCTATGACAACATTCTAACACCCTTTTTTCTTCCACTAACCAACACCTACAGCATTCATCCACCAGAGAAAACATGAGTTTCAGTTCTGTCCCACATACAAGAGAACACAAGTCCACATAGGACAATATTCCAAATATACAGTAGGATATCCCAGGCAGATATGCACAAAGGTTCACTTATTTTATTGACGCGCTTAAATAATTTCTACAGACAACTACCTGAACCACTAAGACAGAGAAGAACTTCTCTTCTTCATTACCTCTGTACATAATTAAGTAAAAGGATTTTGAGAAACATACCACAACAACGAATAAAAGTAATCCTCGAAAGCACCTGTAATGCTATAGAGCATTGGAAAGTATAGCAATAACAGTGCTGTAGCAAAGTCTTTGGCTGCAGCAAATGAAAACAAGCACATATGCAGCAGCCATGAACACAGAAACAAAGGAAAAAAGCAGCTTACCTTTAGAAGGCCTCAGACAGGCAGGGATCTTCAGTGCCTTGCCTCCACTGCCAACCCTTGAATAAGGTCTGGGAAGGGGTGGAGTCAGGATCCACCCCTTCTGGTCACTCAGGTGCATTGCAGGTGCACCTGAGCAACCCTGGTTTGGCCCTGCCTTACCACAAGGTGCTCAATCACTGCGTCAGGCCATGACTTAGCATTTCTGTTACAGTCTCCCATCCAGAGACATCCCAGTTCAACAAGGAAAATGTTTCTAAAACATGTAAAATTATGCAGTTTCCCCCAGATTCTGCAGGGAGCTCAGTTCAGTTCATATATATATCCCACATAAAACACATGCACCAATGATAATTTAAAGCAAGCTACAGCCCACCAGGGAAACTTCAAAAATATTCACTTAAAATTAATGGCCTCACTGGATATATTAGAAAAATTACAATTTGCCAGTACTCCTTTCCTCCTCCTTTTTCTTTTTTTTCTTTTTTTTTTTTTTTTTGAATTGCCTTGAATCTGAAGTACAAGTCAGATGTATCTAACTTCTCAGTTAAATAGAAAAAGTAATCAGCAAGACAGTAAGACGTGATCAGTAATTTATGTATGATATTTTTTCCAGTATTTCTTGCTGCTCTCTTTTAAGTAGAATCAATAGTTTTGGTGTTTACAGATCAAGAAGAAAGCTAACCAAAACAAGCTATTCAGAAATTTCTAATCCTACAGCTTGATTTAAGTTATGTATTCCAATTCACATGCTCATTATTTGAAAACTAGATCTCAAAACATTATTCTGACATTTTATCCCAATCCAAGAAGATTACATGAACACATATGTAGAAACACATCACTGTAGGAAATATACTGGAAAGGACTTCTTAGATTATTCAGCGATGGGTATGCCACCATATGTTTTATACCACCATATGGATATATGCATACACCAGTGATGGTGTATGATGCTTAGAATCTTTTTCATTTCCAATTTAATTGCAGGCCTTCATATATATTTTTTTGCGTTCTACCCTTGTCTTTCACCTTTGTAACTTTTCCTTTGTGCTGTTTGCCACGCAATAGCCTATTCACTGCCCTAAGCACTCTAGAAGGCTTTTCTCACTTGTCCTTTTCTAAATTTCTGATTCTCAAACAGGGATGATCAAAGTTATACAGCAAGTATGACACTTCACTATCTTTACTGGAAACCTGATGCCAATGAAATACTATGACCATATTTACTGTTTGCAATATTGATACCTCGTAGTCATCTCTGCAACCTATTCACACTTTTTTTTCCCTTTTCTGTGATCTCCTGTTTTGTTATTACTACTATAGCAAATGAGACAACTTCAACTCAAAAGTATTTCACATTACAACACCAAACTCAAGGTCAGAGCAGAGGAGTAAAATCTGTGTCCAAATGAAGGCAGATATTAAGTGAAAAAAAATTAAAACACTATATACAAAACTTTAGTAATACCATGAGGAGGTCAGTTAAGAAATCATTTTGAATATTGGAAGCTTTCCAGTTTCACTATATATAGTACAGTGTCAGACTAGTTGGGCTGCTTTGTGAATGCTTTGCTTTCATAAGCCAACTAAGATATTTAGAATCACAGTATTCTTTAACCCGAATTCCTCATATCAACTACCTGGTAGTAACCAGAGCTTTTCTATGTCAATAAAGGTTATTTCTGATCACTGCCCTCATGTGCTTGCATGCACTACAACACCTTTTTGTCCCTGCTAAAAAATATATCAATAGGAAAACCCCAAAGCTCTCCCCCCACCCTCCAATCTCATTCATAATACTAAAAATCAAGAAAATTGCTTTATGTAAAAAGTCTGAAGCATACAGTCTTACAGAGAAAAGCAAACATAGATGAAAGTTCATCCGACAAAAAAAAGAAGGATGGTCAAGACAAAGTGTGCTTTGTGAGCAGAAAGCATCTATGGCCTTCTGAATGGAGAATGGTCCTTCCTAAGGTTAGAAGGCATCTGTTTTCACTGTAGGTGATCCATGATTAATCTCAGGCAAAGAAGTAATGATTACAAATTACAGGCCAATTTCTATTTTGCCTGCTGTGACAAAGATTACTGAAAAATTGGTTCACTCACCAACGATGAGCTCTCCAACATGGAACACACTAAAATTGTACAGAACTATCATCTAGATTTTGGCCACTGATGGAATCCAAATGCCCTGAAAGCATGACCACTACTTTCTCCTGCACAGAGATCAACGGTCAGGTTTCTGGGCCTGTAGTCATGAATACATAAGCCTTGGGAAAATTTGCTTGTAGTTTTTGGGTTTTTTCCTAAATTTGTGCCAATACACTGTAGCTACGAGATTGACTAGGGAATATTCTCAAATTTGGGGGCTAGTCCTCTGTGGGTAGTTCCATTCATTTCTTCAGAATGTTCAGGTGGATTTGGGGAAAACAAAATAACAAATTTGTCATTTCATGTTAAAATTCCCCCAGGTATATAGCTTGTAGCAGCTAGGCCTACTCTTAAAACCCCCAAAGCAGAACCGTATTTTTTCTGCAGAGAAATTGCTGCATCAGAAAAGACGGACGGTATTTCTATATCCAGGGAGAGCAAATGGAAAAATTTATGCTTTTCTGGGATATAGTATGACTTTAACATGATAAACACTGAAAGCATGCCTCCTTGGAACAAGTTTTAATAGGCCTAAGAAAGGTACTGCGTCTCCCCATGCTCAGGTCTCCATTTACTCTAGTTGGTTTATAAATTTTTATACTTAGATGCTTTATACTTAGCCATTTTACAACCATAGAAAATGCAGAAGGGCAATATTCTTCCAAAGGGGTATTTTACTCAGTGCAGTGCAGGAAACAATGCAGTCCAGAAAACATACAGAGCAAGTTTGCTCTTTCCCAGCATAGGGTCTTTCTGGTCCGGGGAAAAAGAGCAAGATCCTCCCACAGCTATGAGGAAAAGGTTTGGGGTGGGGGCAGAGGGCTGGGCATTATTGTATCTTTGCCATGAAGTATCTTCCAATTGAGAATATTAAAGCATGTTTAAAAGGGCAGGATAAAACATTATTCTCTCCAGTTTATGGGTAAGGAAAGTGCAGAATGGAAAGGTGGATTACTCAGCATCACACAATGAGAGGAGAAGAAGGGCAGACACAAACCTCAAGTCTCTTGATCTCAAAATCTCTCCATACAGTTTAATGAACTTGGCTCCCAGATGCAGAGAGATATTTTAATGCCTCAGGGCTAATCCAGATTTTCATAACTAAACAGAATATGAATCTAAATGGATAAGGAATTTCACTGCAGGTAAAAGTCTAGCTTAAGACACAAAAATGAAAAAATGAGGTCTAAAATGTTCAATAGTGTGGAAAGAGAGTTGTGCACAGGAAAACAGGAGCAAAGTGACATTGAGGGCGAAGAAGCAAATAAATAAAAGGCTCCTTTCAATAGTCATATAACTAGAAGGATGTTCACTGATGGCACAATGCACTGGGCAGGTGTGTTCCACCTTGGGAATATGTTCCAGTTTTAAGAAACTCCAACCTAAGAACCTCAGGGACCCCAGGAGCCTCCAGAAACCTCAGTGCAGCCCAGCCTGAAACTGCCAATTTAAAAGTGCTGTTTGCTGCTTCTTTAACTGAAGAAAAAGTTGCAGGACAATAATTTCTAACTCATGTTTCATGGGGAGCCAATACCTGCATGAACCTTCAGCACAGCTAATAGTCACAACAGATGAAGATGGCAGCCAGCACGAGAGAACACTAGGCAAAGCAAGATGGTGTCCTCAGCAAAATGCTTCTTCAATACTGTCACCAATGGACCAGCAAAGATTGGAAAAATGCTGCTTTAATTTCATTATCCCATTGAAGACTTAAAGGAAACAGAGATACAGCTTTACTTAATGTTCTAAACCTTGGTCTATAAGGAGATTGGGCAGCCATGCCAGTTTGTGTTCCGTCTGCACGTTATGTTTATGTGAGCTTATATCTTTTTAATGCAGCACGGTTACACTTACAGCAGTTTGCAGCTTCCCCAGGAAGCCATTGTAAATGGGACCTGTGCCCAATTGTTTTTATCCCAGTTAAGTAAATAAATGAAATATGCTAATTAGCACCCTATTAGCTCACAGCAGGGAGTAATCCAGGGCTTTTTGATTGGAAATTATTCTGTCATCCAGGAAGCTGCTCTGTAACAGAATGTAAACTGGCCCAATTTTCTCTTTTTACCAATTGTGGATGTTATCCAAACAACTGAGAAACTGCAGAGCACAATCTATAGGACACAGCGATGCTTCAGTGGAACCCCTGTCAGTCTCCCATGAGTCTGGCTAGAGATATGCTGGCAAATCCCAGGACTAGAAACTCTGTCTGCATTTAGATTTGGGGGCCATTTTGTTAAAATTGCATTCAAGCACATAGTATATTTTCTTCTAGCATTACAATTATTTCTCCTGAATACTTTCTGAATTTATTGCAAACCTGTATTAATGTTACCTCTTTTTTTTTTTTTTTAAAGCCAGAAATACTGAAGTTGGGACACATCAATATATTATTCATATCCTGACAGAAGAGGAAAATGTGGATAAAATAGCCCTAAATTAACAATTTCAATATTTTAAAATCATAAACAAAGAATTACATTTCCGTATTATTTTTGAAAAGCATGTAATTTAACTATACATAGTAATATCTATACTATCTCTTTGCTAGCAAAGCTGAACTGCCAGACTAGTTAGTGCACAGCTGTACAGTCAGCCTGCCAACAAGAGGATGCTGGAAGTAATACAGGCACTGAGAGAAAAAGCTTAATAAAAATGCAGCATGTTTTCCAATCTGGTCTTTCAGAAACAACCATTTTCAAAGAGCTTTGGGGCTTTGGGGGATTAGACACTATGACACATCTGTCAGACTGCCACTGAGCATGTCAAAATCTCCATCATGGTTTGAGTTATGCAATGAAGCTCGGTTATGTTATAGAGATGCTAGTAGCATACTTTCTTTCGTTATCAAATTTATATGAAAAGTTACAGGGA